CGAAATCCCTTAACCCTTTCGGACCTGAATTTTTCCCCGTGGAGAAATTTTTCTTCTAGCTATTGTTTATTACTTGTGAGCATATAGGTATCATTATGGCGAAATTTGGAAGCTATTCGATCACAAACAAAGAAACTAAGAAGCTTTGAAAATTGGCCAACTCGGATTGACCAACGGCAAAAGCTTTATTTTTATCTTTCATCCCAGGGGCTGAATATGTGTATCTCCTCAAACACGAGGCCGTTTTTAATTAGCTGTTTGTGGCAGGAAGGGGTTTATCAAGTTTGTTACTGTTAGAGGAGGTCATATATGATTCCTGCCAGAGAGGAGGAAAATATGAAAACATCGAAAGCGGTAAAACGTGCCAATTGATCCCGGCCAGCCAAACTAGGGAGGAATTTTGTCAGCATCTATTTTCAGTATGCCCACTTCCTGTATGGAGGAGTGGATCTGTTATGACTCTTGCGAAAAATCGTATAGCAAACCTTTATACGAAGTTATTCCGGGGATCAAATCCTGGGTCGTGAGTCGCCCGGGCCAACCAAGCCTTCCATCCCTCCGGGGTCGGTTAATTGGTACCAGACTTGTCTGGGAGGATAAAAACACTGACTTGTACATCGGCTGGCCCCCGCAAGTCATTGTATAGGCCACATCGCATTCAAACGCCACTACGAATGTACAAATGGAAGTAGAATGCGTGCCGCATCCCAAAAAGGGATTGATCAACGGCAAATGCTTTATCCTTTTACCAAGGCCATAGCTGTCCTTACAGAAGGAAAAGAAAATTGGCGTGGGGCAAACGTATTCTGACAAGCTTGGCAAGTGTTTGGAGAAAAAACCTGCTTATACTATGACTCGACCTACCCTTGTTTTAGATCATGGAGCTAATCTAAGATGTTGATTACACCACTGGATCCATATATTGGGTTGTCCAAAAAATCCTGCGACACTTAGTTCAAAATTTTTTGATTGCACCTTCTTTTGTTGAATGAAGTATTCAATCAACCAGATTATCACCATTGCAATTACCCTATAACGGACGGCCAGTGTATTTGTAGCGTTTACCATCAAT